CTCGCGCCCGCCGCGCCCGCCGCCCCTGCCACCCTCGCGCCCGCCGCCGCGCCCGCCGCCGCCGCGGCCGCCCCGCGGCCAGGGGTCTGGCGGCGCGCGCACCCGCAGCCCCCCCATCCCGTTGCCCGCCGAGGCGCCCGCCTTAAGTGCCGCCTCCGGCCCCAGCGACCGCCCCGCCGCCTCCGAAGGACGGAAGCCGCCGAACCCCTGCCACTGCCTGGCGCCGCCGCCGCCGCCGCCGGACTGCCCGGACTGCCCGGACTCCTGCTGCTGCCGCCGCGCCGCGGCCTCCGGCAGGTGGCTGAGCCGCGGGTCGTGCTCGTATGCGACCACGATGACCTCAGGGCGGCGGTTGTTCGCGGCGCGCGCGGCGCGGCGGATGGCGTCGACCGCGGCGCGCTCGACGGCGGTCAGGGCCGCGTCGCAGGGCAGCGCCTGCACGGCCTCCTGCGCCGCCTGCGGGTGTTTTGGGCCGTTGCGATTTGGTTGCGTTTTGTTTACGATTTCGTTTGGTCCAAGGGGGGAGCAGGTCGCTCGTCATGAAAGCCGCCGCGTGGGGTGCGGCAGCCCCACAGCCAGGCTTCTGTTGTTCGTCCCTCTCTCTCTCATATATCAAGGCAGCCCGCATGTGACACTCTTCCAGAACGTTGCCATGATTTGTTGCGAGGCTGCAAGGGGATGCGAGGATGCAAAACAGAGACCCACCTGCCCCTGATAATAAGGAAGAAAAACCCACCTGATGGATCGCGTCCAAGATCTTCCCCTTTTCGAGCCACATCCCCCGCGTTGTCACCCGCACCCGACACCGCAGGTTGTTCGCGCCCGCGGCGGCGGCGGCGGCGGCGGCGGCAGCGCCGCGGCCTGCGGCGGCGCCGCCGGGCGGCGCGCGGAAGACGTCGACGGCCGCGACGACCACGCCCTCAAACGCCAGGTTGGCGCGCTCGGGCAGCGCCATTTCCTGCGAAAGGGGTTCGAATTTTGGATGTATATTGAACATATTAGACTTTCGAAATATGTATGAAAGCAGTAAGGACGACGTCGCGCCTCCGAGTGTGCAGGCGCTTTTGTCGGCTGACGTGCGCCGGGCCGGGGCTTGTGTGGGGAGCGCCGAGCACCGGCAGAGCCGCAAGCGGCGCGCCGCCGCGGCGGCCGTCCCGCGCGCTGCGCCGTCCTTCAGGCGCCCGACCCGTCCGATCCCAAACACCACGAGGCAGGGCGAACCGCCCCATGGGATGACCCCTCAGCCTCCCGGGACCCCTGCCCCGACCCCCACCTGCGCAGTGCCCGTGCCGCGGCCGCCATCATTGTAGAAGTTGACCAGCTGCACCTCCCCAAGAACCTGTGATTGTGTGCCGTGTTGATATCGAATAGGTTCAGTTGGCTGCATGCGCTTGATGACCCTTGATTTTCGTGATGACGCCACTGGAGGCGCAATCACAGCTGCAGCCCCTGCCCAGGCACTCCGCCGCGGCCGGGCCACGTCGGCCCTCCAACAGGGGCGCGACAGCCGACAGCCCCTCCATGTTCAAAAAGTGATGACCCGCGCGCCCACATCACCCTGCAGCCCCCCATCGCACCCCACCTCGAGCCCCTGCCGCTGCGCCTCCTTCTCGCCCGCCACCGCGGCTGCGGCCATGCTGCCCGTCGACACTGTGTTGCGGTTCCTCCGCTCATGGACCCCCAGCATCTGGCCGTTGCGGATGACCTTGAGGGCGGGTGCGTGTGGGGGGAGATGTTGTTGTTCGGGTGTGTGTTGCAAAGCCATTTGTGCCTGCGATCGTGCGTGCATGACTGTACCACCTGCCCGCCGGCCCCCGCCTGCATCTGGAAGGCACATGCACGGAACGGCTCCGTGACCCTCACACTCACACACACACACACACAAACACTCACACAAACACTCACGCACTCATGCATGTAACCCTCGCACTCCGCCGCGCGCCGCACCTCTGTGAATTGCACGCCCGCCCGCTCCCTGGCTAGCCGCGCGTGCTCGCACAGGAAAGAGTACTCTCCATGAACAGGCAGGAAGTGCTGCGGCTTCACAAAGCGCAGCACCTCCTCCAGCTCGTCCTGCGTTTATCGGATAGCATTGCAGATATTGTTGCAGATATGTGAGCCGATATTCAATAGTGTGGGTTTTTGTGGAAGTCAGGGGGGTGCTGAGAGCCAGGCGGGGCAATCGTTTCAGAGAGAGAGAGAGAGAGAGAGAGAGAGTGTGTGTGTGGTTCTATGATTCGATCCTGGGTTGAAGCGGGGCTCGGTCGGTGGAGGCAGGGGGGGGTGGGGCTGACGCGGTGCTTGAAGCAGTGCGGCGCCCCTCCTGACGCGCCCTGGCGGGCCCGCCCTCTCACGCGTCAGCGGCGCCAGCACATGTGACAGCCCGTCCTCCCACCCCCTTCCACCCCCAACCTCTCACCTCCCTGTCTCCTGCCCAATCCCCCTCTACACACACACACACACACACACACACACACACACTTACCTGGTACGCGTGGCCCGAGGTGTGCAGGTTCTCCGCACGGCCCTGCGCCACCTCAGCGCCCAGCATGGACAGGCCGTTGAGCATCTGGGACACCTTGACCTCGTTGCCGGGGATGACCTTTTATGTGTGTGTGTGTGGGGGGGGGGGCGGCGGGCGTGGGGATGGGCGGCGTGAGTGGAATGTGGTGTGAGTGTGTGTTTGTGTTTGTGTGTTTGTGTGTTGGGCAGGACCAGAAGGTGGGGGTTGGCGGCGACGTCGGGCAGGTGGCGGGCCCGCACGGCGGGGTTTAAGCAGGGGCAAGCACCAGTGAGTTTGGTTGCGTATAGCTGTAACTTTCCTACTCTTGTCTGGTGTTCACAGGGCAATCTGCAGATCGGCAAAAAGTGTGAGATCTGGTATCGAGTGTCGAATCTCAGATCACGCACCTTTGCCGAGTACAGCACCAGGTCCTTGGGCATGATCTTGAGGGCGTTGCTGGCCTGGCGGGCAGCCAGGCTCAGCTGGGCGCGCGGCTCGGCCTGGTGTGTTTGTGTGCGTGCGTGCGTGTGCATGTGTGTGTGTGTGTGTGTGCACGCGCGCGCAAACGCGCGCTGGCAGATGTGCGCAAGCGAACATATGCACAAACGCACATGAATGCATGCTTGTGAGTTTTCAGCGCCTCTCCCAGATCGGAAGCGAGTCCGCAGCGGTGGGGGCGGCGTGGCGCCGGCCGGCGGGGTGTGTGGTGTGCGGGGTGTGTGGTGTGTCGGCCCACCTGGGAGCCCGTAGTGACGATGAGCAGCTGGCTGGGGTCGACGTCCGGGATGGACTCTGGCGCCACCAGGTCGCGCGGGTCGATGGGGGCGCGCCCCTCCCTGGGGTCATAGGGCGGTGTGTGTGTGTG